TAAGGAGGAATCATTGGAATGGCAGCACCCCTTGCTATGCCGCTCGGTCCGTTACCCAGGCCCTACGCCCCCCGCCCCGCCACGCCCCCCGTGCGCCTTAGAACAGTTGCCAACTATATTTCATTCCTTTCCTTGAGAAATGACTGGGATTTGGGTGAAGAAATACTCCGCGGGGCAGTCGGTGTGCTCGCGGTGCTCCGACTGAAGGGAGAGAAGAGGGCCCGAGATTCCCCGTCCTGGAAAGGTATGGAGCCGTCGCGTCGCGCTCTCCTCCTTGTTGGCATGGTGGAGGATGTTTTGGGTAAAAAGGAGAGGAAGTGAGTGAGAGAGGGAGTGAGTGTAAGAGAGAGAGAGAGTGAGAGACAGGAGTTCGCCGCCTGCGGGGAATGGCACGCGAATGCGCGTCATTCTTAGTGAGATCTTATTTTCGAGCTTATAGCAGCCGTACCTCTGCCATGAGCTCTGCCATAGCAGAGGGGGAGCCGGGCGCCGGGCGGTGGCTCGAACAGTAGATTACTAATTCATCAACACTGAAAACATGACCGTACGTGCTCCCATACGTGAGCAAGGAAAATGTGTGAATTGTCTTTGAAATTTGGATCGTCTTTTGCCCGAATAAGGTGTACGAATGTAATGTCACGCGACTTCAAGTGTGCAACATTCCACAGACTTGCCAGGCGCGGCGCTATCACCGAAGGTACGCGGTTTTTCTCTTCCTATACACTGTAGTACACGGCTACACGGCTGTCCTTTTCCCTCTCTCCAATAACAGGCCCTACCGTTTTACCCCTTTATTCCCTCTATTTCACCATTATTGGCCTCCTAATTTAACTTGACGCATTGCCGCGAACGGCGGGCGCGCCGGGGCGGGCGATTTATACCGCCTCACCGCATTCGTTGTTTTAGCGGCGCGATCGGAAAAAGCGCAGCGTGTTGGAGAGGAGGAAAAGAGTGAAGAGGGGCGAGAAGTGTGGGGGAAATGTGGGAGCGTTGGCTGTATAACTACACATAGAAGGCAATGCGTAAGCAGGTGTGTAAAATGATTGGAAATTGGAGGTTAGAGCCTGTAGTGGGACGAAGAGGCTGGTGAAGGGAGATCAGTAGGAGTATAGAGGAACGGTAAAAGGTGGAGAGGAAGAAGAGGGAGGTCACCGGTGGAAATGGGTCATTCTGCCGCCAACCCTCGGCCTCGGCCCCGCTGCCCGCAGCCGATGCGCCGCGCCAGTGAGAAATCGCGCGCTCGGGGGACGTTTCTCTCTATCTGCCGCCGACCTGCCGCCGGCTCTCTCTCTCTCTCTCTCTCTCTCTCTCTCTCTCTCTCTCTCTCTGCTGCTGCTCCCGCTGATTAGAATTAGTTTTCATCCGGCGCGTCCGGTGGGGTAACTGCGTATACTGTACTCCTACGACTCCCGAGCTACCCCCAACAGAGGGGAGGGGGTATTTCCCCCGCTTTACTGCTGTGCACCTGCTGGTGCAGTGCAGTCGCGGTTCGCTTTAATAAAATATTTGCGGGTCAGGCTGGCAGCGCAAGGGAACGCGTAGCAGTCTAGCCGGAATCGCCGGTATCCTGCCTGGGTGTAAGTGTGAAACCGCTGCTGCTACTGCGATCTGCTTCCGGCTACCGGCCTGGGCGGCCTGCAACGTCTACAGCCTTATGTAATATCTATTTCCGCCCTGAAAGCCATGTTGACGCCTCATAATTGAATTGGGTTAGGTCGGAGAGGAGCGGCTGTCGCCGGCGAGGTGGAAGAGAGGGA